CAGCACTGTGAGGAAACACAGCAGCGTTTCTCCGGGGAAACAGGCGGACACTTGGAATGAGAGCCGTGAGAACTGCAGCTGTAGGCACGGCTGCTCTGGGTGAACCCAGCACAGCGACTGAGGCCGAGTCCAGCTGTGCAGATCTAGGCTCACAGCGTCTCTAATACTTGTGTTCACGCCTCAGCACCTTAAGTCCTAACAGAGAGTCAGTGATGGCCAATGGCACAAGAGAGAAGATGTGACTGCACTCGGGGACTTTCTGGTAAAGAAAGGGCCGACCTAGGCAGCTCTGTCCCCTCGGGCAGGATAAAGGCTTAGGACTGATGCTCAAGAGACTTTCGGGATAACAAAGCCTATGTCAGACGTAGAGGCCACTGACCACGTCACAGCCAGAGAATAATCGACCCTCCACTCTGCAGCACACTCTGCCTACTTCCACACTACGGGGGACAGAGAAAGGAGGTGGGGGAGGGGACAGGAAAGGTTCAGTGACTTCCTACAGTAACCCTAACACAATCTACACAGTATGACAATTTCGCCAGCCCACAGCTGCACTGTAGCTGCTCCTAGTGCATTATCGCCGTCACTTGGTGTTGGAGAGCACATGTGGCGAGCTCACTAGGAGAGCTTTTTACCTCCAGACTGTGGACAAGAATGGCCAACTCGAATGTAGCTGGCTCAATAAATAGAAAACTTAAAGAAAACTAAGCCTTTTATGTTCATGAAAATTTGTGTTCACGACTTGTTAAAAAGCGTTCTGATTTGCTGAAATAAGGAACGGAAGTCATACTATGTGCTTTAGTGCTCACAGGGTTTACTCTGCGGAGCCAGAGGCCTCCTGCTGCTCCTGCTGATTTACCTGGGGTTTTTGTCTGCGCTGTTCTGCCGGGCACTGCCAGGCGCGGAGGCTTTGACTTGAGCTTCAAGCCTAGAGTAGATACCTCCTGCAAACTGTGGGGTAAAGAAGCAGAGTTGAGTTACCTTCAAGGAAGGAAAGACTGCCCCATAACAAAACACACTTCTAAATTTAGGAAGTGATTTATTTTTGGTCTATAAGCTCAGGCTTCTGAAGTAGTACATATAGTAAGACACCATTTAGTACAGGGTTCTGGGTTTTGACAAATGCACAGGGACACAGTGGCTCTTGTCTGGGGCTGGACTCTGAGCTCCAGCACTCATGCAGCTCTTAGCCGCTATGTGGTTTCTCCAGCCTCCATTTTTATTTTTTTAAAAAATGTATAGTTTATTTGCTAAACCCTGATGCTTTTAATCACAGCACTGGGAGGCAGAGGCAGACAAATCTCTGTGAGTTCAAGGACAGCCTGGTCTACAGAGTGAGTTCCAGGACAAAGATACACAGAGAAGCCCTGTCTCAAAAAGCCAAAAATTAAAAACAGAAATAAAAGAAATAGAGTTTAAAAAAAGCCGCATAAAGATGGAGTTAAGCTTCTCCTATCTCTTTTCTAGCCCTATTAAATTCAGGAAATCTCAGAATTTTTCTTGTCACATTACCATTTTGTAGGCTTTCTAATTTTTCACAATTATGAATAATGACATTATAAATGAATGGCATTTATAAAAAATTCCTGAACTATTTTCCACAGCTCCTACAAGCTAAACAGAAGTCCATTTGCTTCACAACCTCATGAGCACCTAAACAAAAGCTCAGAGAGAAGCAGCATTTGATAGAGATGCTATTTTGTATTTCTCTAATGACTAATGATGCTGCATTTTCATGTTTTCTTGCTACCTGCATCCCTTCCTTTGGGATGTTTGGCTAACCCTCTGCCTGATTTATTTATTCATTATTACTTTAAATTACTTTATCAATTTCTATATATGGGTGTTTTGCATGCATGCCTGCATACCAGATGTGCAGTGTGCCCTGGGAGACCAGAAGAGGGGCTTGCATCCCCTGGAACTGGGGTTACAGAGGTTTGTGAATAGCATATGGGTGCTGGGAATTGATTATGGGTCCTTAAGAGTTCTCTACAAGAGCAGCCAGTGCCTTTAAGTGCTGTGCCATCTCTCCAGCCTCTATTATTTTGAGACTGTCTCACATGTTACCATGGCTGGCCTGGAACTCACAGGGACCCACCTGCCTCTGTCTCCCAAGTACTGGGATAAAGGTACGAGCCACCATGGTCAGTTTGCCTATTTATTGGATTATTTATTATTGAGGAGCTAAGCTTTTTTGAGATAATTTAATTACAATATCATTTCTCTCCCCTTTGTTTTCCACAAACCTATTCATCAGACAAACATTTTACACTTGGTTTGTCATTGCATATGAACTGTTTGTTTGTTTGTTTGTTTGTTTGTTTTTTGAGACAGGGTTTCTCTGCGTAACAGTCCTGGCTGTCCTGGAACTCACTTTGTGGACCAGGCTGGCATTCAATTATGAATCTTTTATTCTTTCTTTTTTTGGGGGGGGGGACAGGGTGTCACTGAACAGCTCTGGCTATCGCATCACCTAGCCCAGCTGTCTTTTCATTCCCTTTACAGTGGTTTTAAAGAAGAACTTTAAGTTTTGATGGATTCTGATTAATTTTTCTTTTGTGGATCATGCTTCAGTGTTGAAGCTAAGAAATTAAAATTTTTTGAACATTTAATTTAGTAGTGCACATATGTATGTGTGCATATATGCACACAAGTCTATAGGCCCTTTTGCTAAGGAATTTTTATCTAACTGAAGGTCACAGCTTGCTTTCCTTTGTAAATTCTATGGGTAAGTGAATTTCCTTTCTTTTGCTCCATCCTGTCCTATCCTCTTATTTGTTCCCATTTATTTCATTTTACTTTTGCTGCTGGAGATTGGATTTAGGGCCTTATGCATTCTAGGCATAAACTCTGCCAATGAGCTACAACCCCAATGAGGAAGTAAAAACATACAAAACGGATTATTTAGGAGCTATGGTGCATTTATAATGCAGACGCCGATGCCACATAATGCTGTGACTGACAGTAACTCTTGTGAGAATTCCGTGCAGTGCAGTCCTGATTTTCAGCAAGATGCATTTATCTTAGAGACAACATCCAGGTATGACAAGCAAAGGTGAACAGATCCAGCACTTTTTTCAATCACTTTGACCAACAATGCACAGTTAACCTACTCTTGGTGTGACACTATACTTTAAGGATAATTTGCTTTATCACGTAATCTCAGGCCCAATGTCACTCTCTCTTCCTGTTTCCTGCAGATCCAGATGTAGAACTCTCAGCTACCTCTCCAGCACCACATCTGCTTCCCACCATGATGATAATGGGCTAAACCTCTGAATTGAGCCCCAGTTAAATGACTTCCTTATAAGAGTTGCTGTGGTCATGGTGTCTCTTCACAGCAATAGAAAACCTAACTAAGACAACAGTTAACTATTTTTCATATGAAATAAAACCAGGAAGAAAAATTTTACTTAAATATACACACTGGTAAATAGTTCTTACTTCTTTTGATTCCTTTGATTTGACTCGGTCCAAGTCACCCAATCTCATTTTTATTAGATGCCCTGTAATTTCAGACATCCGCCGCTGATCTGTAGGCAAAAAAATACACCATTATTTTTCATGAAAATCACACAGTTCCTATTTTTCTAGAAATACTATAATCAACAAAAGTTTATGAAAATGTATTTTGTTCTTCATTTCAGGTACACACCTCTACATATCTGTAAAGAATTTAAGATAGCATGTAGCAACTGATTAATATACAGACAGTTGTATTGTCTTTCAGATTCCTGGATATGGTTAATATGTCCCCAGAGGATCAAGTGGTACATGTCTGATCCCAGCTGTGATGGAACTTTAGGAGCTAGGGCCTGGTAGATATCTGATTGGGGAAACCAGCCCTAGAAGAGACCAATGTAGTTATTATGTGACTCTGTTTAATTCCTGTAAGGTCACATTGATACAAAAATAAACTTTTTTGCTTTCTTTTTTGGCATGTGACTACTTCCTCCTAAACATGCTCCCTGTAATGTCATCCACTACACTGGGACTGTAGTCAGAAGCCAGAAGCTTTCACCAGAGCCAAAGAGATACTTACTGGTACTGTAAAACTGTAAGCTAGTCAGGTGGTGGCGCACGCCTTTAATCCCAGCACTCAGGAGGCAGAGGCAGGACCTCTGTGGGTTTGAGGTCAGCCTGGTCTACAGAGCAAGTTCCCGAACAGGCTCCAAAGCTACATATAGGAACCCTATCTTGAAAACACAAACACACACACACACACACACACACACACAAGCTGTAAGCTAAATAAACTGTTCTTTATAAAATACTCAGCTTTTAGTATTTTATTGTAAGAATACGAGGCTATGACAGCTTAAAACATATTTGGTCATTTTTACAGTATAAGTTCTACATACAAACAAGTCTAAGAGACCTCAATCACAGATGCAGAGACAACATGCGACCGACTGGATGGCCTAGTGATGCCACTCTGCCTGGGGCTGGAGTCCGTGCACACTGAGTTCTTGTTTTGGAGCCTTTACCACTACTCAGTGCTGGAGAGACGGCTTAGGGATTAGGAACACAGACTCTTCTCCAAGAGGAGCCAAGTCTGGTTCCCAGCATCTGCATCAAGCCCACATGAAGCAGCTGACAACTGCCTATAACGCTAGCCCCAGAATATCTCATGCCCCTCTCTGGCCTCTAATGGTTGCTGCACTCACCTGCACCTACCACCCCCAAAATATAGACATAACAATAAAAACATTGGTATTTATACCTAACTTTATATTACTCAGATAATAAAATTTACCATCTTCTCTTTGTGCGTCCTGGTTGAACCTCAAGGATCTTGTGGCGTCCCACTTATTCTTCTGTATGCTCACACTGTTGGACAAATGAACAGAAACAACCACTGACGCTGCTTTAAGGGTGCAGCCAACACAGACCCTGTCTCAAAACCAAAGCAAGGACGGGTTTCCAATTGGACCAAGGAACCAATACTCACACGAAAGGAGACACATCTCTAGAAGTTGACTAAAAGAAGAAAACATTATCTAGTTAGAGAATATTCATTGATTAGTGCTCTAACTAATTATAAGAACAATGTACATTTATTGAGTACAAGACACTACACCACGAGCATCCAAAACTATTATTTCATGTAAGCCTCGCAGCGACAGCTGGGAGTGGTGGTGCCCACCTTTAATCCCAGGCAGGGCTCCATGAGATGAAGACCTGGCCAACACCATAAGTTTCAGGCCAGCCAGGGCTACATAGTAAGACCTCATCTTAATAAATAAATAAATAAAAACAAGCCTTGCAGCAACAAGGTCTATAATAGTGAAACAAGCTCCATCTGACCTTCATTGTAAAACAGGCTAGAGAAGAAACTTCTTCAAGAAAAAAATTAGACTGAATGTCTATCTGCTGAGCTTGGAACTTTAAGCTTATTAAGTTGGAACTCTTAAAAACTTAACCCACCCACCCATCCGCAGGTCGTAGTTAGCTAAGATGGATGTGTGGTCCATCCGGTCACAGACCGAGCCTGTCACACAGCCGTGGAGCTCAGGGCTTCTCCCGAGGCACCTGCAGCTACTACTGTTCTGTCAGCTCTGGAACTTTATCTCTTCTACGGTGCAGGAAAATAAGAGCAAAGCAAAAAAAAAAAAAAAAAAAAGAGCTTTTTAGGTCATAAAAAGATACTTTGATTTTAAAGGTCGATTTACTGTTTATAAATATGCACTACAGCACGTGTAATGAAAAGTGCCAATTAATCTTACCAATTGTGTGTGCAGCTCTATACAGATGGTTTATGCACATGGAGGAAAATCTGTGTCCATCCCATCCTTTTACATGAGGGACGCACACTAAGCCAGGCACTGCTTCTCACCTTCCAATGGTCCCTGTATCTCCCAGATCCTCATCCACTTACATTGCTAGTGTCCCTGTTATTCACTCTCTATTTGGACTTGTGTAGGCTACACATGCTTGTCTACTTCTTAAATGAACTCTGAAACTGCATCAGGTTGTCCAGTTACCTTCTCCAGCGCCTTTTCTTTCTTTTGAGAGCAGGGTGAAGACAGCTGCTTTTTTGGCTGCTTAGTGAACTTCTTCGGCTTTTCCCTTTTCCCTGGAAAGAAAGGACGACATAAGATGAGTGCCGTCCCTGCCAGTGTCACTCCTGTGTCCAAACTGAACAACGTTGAGCCAACAATTATATCTTTAAGAAAAAAAAAAACCGCTGATGTCTGCACAAAACTCGAATACACGAGGAAGTGAAGCTGAAGATGCTCCATGGGGCCATTGGAATCACAGCTCTTCTCTGTACTTGGTAAATCTTCCAAGGAAAATAATGAGTGCATAATAAAACTACTACTTTGTATGTTAACGTAAAATGTCATGGAAAGATACATAATTATTTTTCCCAATCTAATTTGACAGTGGAATTGCCCTCTAAGTTCAAGATTTTTATTTAACAAATTACTATCACCTAGAGAAAATACACTTTGAGGATAAGGGACATCACTACACATGGAAAACTTCACGATGAAGTTTGCTCAGGAAGGACACAAAGTAGGAATGATCTTGGGAGGCAGGACTGGGACATGTCATGTTCTGGACAGTGGCCTTCTTAAGTCAATACCCTGGGTCTGTTCTGGCCAAGAGTGAAGTGGAATGTGGGTATGGGAAGAGAAGGGGCATAGGCGGCATCTGGAAACAAAGGCTCAAGGCAAGAAGGATGGACTCGCTGTCTCTCACAGCTCTTATGTTCCAAGTTTGCTCTGTCCTTTCTCAAGGGGAACCGTGTCACTACTGAGCATGGGGAACCTGTAACATATGATGTATATACGATGAACTTGGAGATATCACAGTAGACAGCAGCAAAATTAATAATACCGATCAAGGGTTATAACTTTGCTAGAAGACATAAGAACAGGATATATGGTAATGGAGTGGAGAAGGGATGGGCCAGTCCTTTGATACAAAAACAACAGAAATTTTACCAAAGCTATTCAAAGTACTGGAAAATAATCAAAGTTAGGCACAGAGTTAGGCAATTTATACTGAAAACTTAGTGAGGTAAGAACTGTGAATTTGGGGTCCTCTAGCCTGAAGCCAGAAGCTAAGCCTGACCAACTCCGGGGGTGACAGAGTCCAACACAAGAGTATAGAGTATAACTCTGTCCAAATACTGAGCTGAGCCTTAAACCCCACCAGGGTGACAAACCCTAGCCCCTAACAGGCCACCTATGCTTGTGAGACAGGGGAATCTCTGCCTTGGACTGAATCAGCTCTCCAAACTGCACACACCTCAAGCTGCAGAGAGCGGGGTTAAAGTGCCAGAGGGCAGATTTGTGTCTGGAAAAGCAGAACCTCTGAAGTAGGAGACAATGAGCGGTGAACCCTGGTGTCTAAAGACAGCTCTGGTTTAGCAGTCACTCTCCCTTGTCAACTTGGCTGTGGACCTAGAGGCACTTAGGACACACACGTCTGGCTGGGCATCTGCGAGAGGACCTCTAAGGGCCCTCAGTGAGTAGGGAAGACCGACCCGAATGTGGGCAGCATCACCCCAAGGACTAGTTAGTCTCTAAAAGAAAAGTGTTCTTTAGGAACCCCAAAGGGTGAAATAGAAAGCAAACAGCTCAGGGGATTGGGAGACAGAAGAAGAAATCAGTGACCTCACAAACAGGACATCAGAAATGACCAAACTAAGCAAGGCAGTGGTGGCGCATGCCTTTCATCCTAGCACTCAGGAGGCAGAGGCAGGTGGGTCTCTGTGAGTTTGAGGGCAGCCTGGTCTACAGAGTGAGTCCCAGCACAGCCAGCGCTACTCAGTGGAACCCTGTCTTAAAAAACCAAAAACAACAACAGAAGACAACAAAAGCAAACTATAAGCATAAAGAAAAGACCAAAGGGAAAAAAATCCTCAAGATGTGCGGAACATCATCAGAAGATTTAGCATATGTATACCTAGAATTCCACAGATGAATTAAAGAGAAAGAAGATGACTATGCCTCCCAAATTCTGTGAAGACTGTGGTATCCAGTGCTGAGAGAAACATACCCAGCAACCTCAGTTCCACAGCAGGCAACGCCATCTAAAAAAATAAGTAAGTCACTTTCTTTTTCTCTTTTTTAGATAAATAAAAGGGAGCAATTCCTTGCTAATAGACCTGCACTACAGGAAATAAAGGCAGCCGCACACAATGAAAGACAGTGTTAGATGCTAGTGTCGCTGAGAAGGAAAATGACTGGTATATGGGCAAACACAAAAGATTATTTTTCTTATTCTCTCTTTGTTAATTGACTACAGCTATAGCTATCTATCTATCTATCTATCTGTATATATATATATACATATATATATATACACATACACACACACTGTGTGTGTGTGTGTGTGTGTGTGTGTGTGCGTGTGTATTTTTGATATAGGGCCTCACTGTGTAGTCCTGGCTGGTCTGGAACTTGCTCTGTAGACCAGGCTAGCCTTAAGCCATAGAGCTCTGCCTTCTTCTGCTTCCTGTGTGCTGGGGTTAGAGGTGCGCAGCACCACACTCAGCAACATAAAAAAGTTTAAAGCAAAAAAAAAAAATCAGCACTTGAGTTTATGATGTCATCATAAACAAAGCCGACCTATATATCCATGTTTCCACATGTGTTGATTCAAAATTGCCTATAGTTTAAAAAAGTCCACTTAAAATTTTTGTCTGAATTGAAAATAAGGACTTTAAAACATCATGACTCCCTACATAATAAAGTATAGTAATTAGTCATACTGTTTACAAGTAATCTAGAGATGACTTAGAGTACACAGGAGGCCAGAGAGGTTAACCACAGATAGAATAATGTCATTTTATAAGGGGCTGGAGCGTCTGAAGAGCATGTGTGGTGTTCTGGAAGCAATCGTCCATGAAAACAGAACAGTACTGATGCGTATGATAACAGCAGCAGACAGCAGGGGAAGTCATGCAGAATTGAGACTATTAGAAAGCCCTTATGTTTAAAGTAAATCCTATTTAGCTATAATGGATTAAAGATGTGTGTTACAAACCTCAGAATAGCAAAAAGCAAATAAAAATAAAAATGAAATAAGATTATTAAAATGATAAACACAAAGAAAGCAGAAAAACACACAAATAATAATAAATAAATGAAAAAGTTTGGGTTGGTAAAATGGTCCAGTGGGTACAGGTGCTCACTGCTGAGCCTGATAAGAGTTCAATAGCCAGTATATACATGGTAGAAAGAAGGAGTCAACTTCCAGAATTGTCCTCAGACTGCCACACATGTGCTATGGCATTTATACCACCCACCTAAATAAATGAATGTAAAAAATGTAGAAAAAAAGAGGTCAGGCATTGGTGGCACACACCTTTAATCCTCGCACTTGGAAGGCAGAGAGAGGGGCAGAGGTAGGTGGATCTCTGAGTTCCAGGACAATCACATATATTAAACAGAGAAACCCTGTCTCAGAGGACACACACACAATACACATGGGGGGGGTGGGGGTGGGGGACAAGAACCATGTAGGGTAAATACAACACAGTAAAATGGCAGACTATATAACCTTATTAATAAATAAATAAAATAGAAACAAAAGTTCCAATTAAAGGTTGAGATTGCAAAACCGTTCTTAAGAAAGCAATTGCTACTGGACATGATGGCACATGTCTTTAGTTCCAGCACTTGGGAGACAGAGGCAGGAGGATCTCTGTGATTTCAAGGCTAGCCTGGTCTATATATCAAGTTCTAGGACAGTCAAGATTACATAGAAAACCCTATCTCAACAAACCACACACACACACACACACACACACACACACACACACACACACACACTTACCAACAGCATGCAATTTATGTAATATATCGTTGCTTTTTTTTTCCAAGACAGGGTTTCTCTGTGTAGCCCTGGCTGTCCTGAAACTAGCTCTTGTAGACCAGGCTGGCCTAGAACTCACAGAGATCCGCCTGCCTCTGCCTCCCAAGTGCTGGGATTAAAGGTGTGCGCCCGGCTACAATGTGTCTTTTTAAGTTAGAAAATGGAAGGAGGTGAGAAATAAAGTAGATGTGTTCATAGTCTACGGTGAATTCAGCGAGCATACAAGACACACGGATGTGTGTTCATAGTCTACGGTGAATTCAGCGAGCATACAAGACACACAGATGTGTGTTCATAGTCTCAACAGTGGGAGAAGGGAAAGGAGGACTGTGAGCTGAAGGCTAGCTTTGTTTACCAGCAAGGTCCTATACTAAAAAAGAAAGTCATCTAGGAGCTGAAGACATGGCTCAGTGGTTAAGAGCACTGACTGTTCTTCCAGGAGAACTGGGTTCAATTCCCAGCACCCACATGGCAGCTCACAACTGTCTGTGACATCAGTTCTAGGGGCTCTAATACTCTCTTTTGGCCTCCATGAACATCATGCACATATAATCATAAGGAAAATTAGAAAATACCTGACTGACTATAACCCAAACTGGGCATGGTGTACACATCTATAATCCTAGCACTTGGGAGGCTGAGGCAGGACTGCCTTGGGCTTAAGGCCAGCCTGGGTTACATATCAAGTACAGGTCTGATCTCAAAAAGGAAAAATGAGAACAAAACAGGCTTAGGGTGTAGCTTAGTTGATAGGATGCTTGCCTAGCTTGCACAAAGAGGGTAGAAAAGGAGGACCAGAAGTTCAAGGGCTTTGGCTACACAGCAAATTATAATTAACTGAGGATATATGGGACCCTGTCTCAAAACAAAGCAAACAACTCCTCTCAACCCCAGTGTGTGTGTGTGTGTGTGTGTGTGTGTGTGTATGTGAAACATCAAAATAAAATATGTCAAAATCTGTGAAATATATCACAGTAGCTCAGGGTAAAACAGTTTTAAATATATCCAGATTTCTTTAAAGTAAAAAGAAACTAAAATTCTAGTTGGGCGTGATGGTGCACACCTGTAATCACAGCCACACCAATGAGCCAAGCTTCTACTTTAAGAATTAAAAACATACCTTTCTAGCAGTGAGGACTTCCCTGAGAGAACATGCTTTTGACAAGAACTGGCTTCATCTCTACAAAAGAGGAGAGGAAGCACCAGAGGCGTATCTGCTGAGAGCCCCAATTCCTACTTCACAGATGCCGCAGGCCTGGATGCTATAACCTTCCTGAATCTCTACCCACGCACAAACAGCAGTCTTGTGTGTTGGCTGCTCTGCTGATCTGTCAGCCCACACAGAAAAAGCAAACTGACAGGATTCTGCTTCAAGAGGAAGCACCCCTGAAAGCACTTTAGCTCATGATGAATGGGAACCATCCCAATAAACACATTTAAGATATTAAAAAAGAATTAAAAACAACAAAAACCTCAGCTCCAAGTAATCATAAAGAATGAGATACGACGAGAGCAATGCCAAAACCAGCTATGGAAACTATCTGACATCCACATCCGATTCTTAGATTAGTGACTTCAAACCAAAGGGCCATGTAGAGATTCTCAAGACACAAAAGGAACACAACTTTATACCAGCAAATTAGGTAAGATGGATACAATTTCTTCAGCTATATGCATTATTAAAACAGATAAGAAATTAAAAACTTGAGCAACACTACAACAAAGAAATTTAAAACCCTCCATGAAGAAAATTCCAGGTCCAGATAGCTTCACTGCTGAATTTTATCAGGGTTTGTGGAAGGGAATACGCAAAGTGCTGCTATGGAAAAGAGGCACAGGCTGGGGTCACTGCTCAGCGATGGAGCACTTGCTGGGCAGCCCGAGACCCTGTGCTTGGTCCCGCGCCGCCTCTCTTCCCCTACAAAAAAGTGAACAGTGCATTTCCTAATTTAGAAGGTTATAACTAACTTGATATCAAAACTCAAAAAAGAAAAAAGAATCCTAAGAAAACTGAAAATATTCCAATAGGCACCATGAAAAATTTATTAGTAATATATAAGCAGGTCAAATGGTATAAAACATAAACAGAACATCTCTTAACAAATGGAGCTCACCCCAGAAGGGCAATGGACCACTTGAAAAGTCATCATTACTATACTGACATAATGAGGGAGACCTATACGATTTTAACCGTCAAAAAAAGGAAAGAGTGGGGCTGAAGAGGTGGCTCAGAGGTTAAGAGCACTGGCTCAGAGGTCCTGAGTTCAATTCCCAGCAACCACATGGTGGCTCACAACCATCTATGAGATCTGGTGCCCTCTTCTGGCGGTCAGGCACACATGCAGACAGAACATTGTATACATAACTAATTAATTAATTAATTAATTAAAAACGCTGCTTTTTTTTAAAAAAAAGAAAAGAGCATTTGATAAATTAGAACATCCATTCACTACAAAAAAAACTAGAATACAGAAATAGAAATGGGTTTTTTCAACCAAGAAAGGCATTCATATAAGTCAGTAATTAATGTTAAAATTGAGTGGCTAAAGACAGGAGGTTTATAGTGTCTGATGGACTGAGAATCAAACTGGGTCTTCTGGAAGAGCAAGGGGCTGCTAAACATCTTTCCAGCTCTTTTTTTAAGATTAAAGACAATACACACTGAGCAGAGCACCAGGGCTCACTTACTCTCTCCGTGTTTGTGTGCACGTGTGAGCACTATGGCACACATGCACTTGTGGAGGTCAGAGGGACAACTTACAGCACCTGGCTCTTTCCCCCACATGGGTTCCAGGTATTGGTTTGGCAGCAAGTGCCTGTAGCTTGCTGCCAGCTTGGGCTGGGGAATCTTAATGGGTAAGAGCTTCCTTTCTGTTTCTTTTCCTCAGTGCAACTTTACATGTAGAGATCGAACTCCAACCACCCACGCCTTGCATTTGAAGATTCAGAAAATACCTCTCCACAAATAGTGAGGGTTGATTTTAACTTAGAAACCATTACTTTGTTTCTTGGTCACTTCTTCTTCATCACCAACTTCATCCTCAGTGACCTCGGATCCAGTGGTGTACTCTTCCTCTTCTGAGAACAGCGACTGCTGTTTCTAGATGGAGAGAAAAGCACACCTGACCAACTCCACACTACTGTGTCAGGAGCGAATTCCTGAGGACACATTTCCCTAATTTCTTGGATGAGCCAAGAAGGGCCTGCAGAGATGGCTCAGTAGCTGTGTGTTCTTTTCTTCTCAAGGACACACACTGAATTCTTAGCACCCGCATCACATGGCTCACAAGCACCTATAATCTAAGCTCCACAATCCCTCTGGCCTCTGTGGATGCTCAAATGCATGTGTGTGCACACACAAACACACATACAGGTTCTTGGGAGGCCAAGCAGAAGGATGGTAAATTTGAAGCTAGCTTGTTCTATACATGGAGAATATGCCTCAAAATAAACAAACAAACACAATCCATGCTAGTGATCCCAGCACTGGGGAGGCAGAGGCAAGAGGATCACGAATTCAGAGTCATCCCAGGCCAGTCTGGGCAACATGAAATTATCTGAGAAGTCAAACCAAAACCAAAACACCCAACAACAACAACAACAATAACAATAACTTAATAGAGTTTTCTTAATATAAATGTGATGTAATCACACTTGTCTATTTGATTATTTAGTCTGTGGACATGTGTAGAGGTCAGAAGAAAACTTGCAGGAGTTTGTTCTCTCCTGTCGTATGGGGGGCCCCAGGGATTGAACTCAAATCTTGAGACTTGCTGGCAAGCACCCTTAACTGCTGAGTCATCCAACAAGTCCCTAAATGTGATTTAAATATGACTTTAACCAGGGCCTGGAGAGATGGCTCAGTGGTCCAGGGGTTCTGATACCCTTTTCTGGCCTCCAAGGGCACCCTGACACTGGTGACACGCATACATTTAAAAATGTCTTGTAACTAGAATCCTGTCTCAGCTTCCCAGCTGGTGGGACTGCAGGCCTGAGTCAGCACATCAGGCTCTGTCTTTTCTTAGTGAGTGCAAAACTGGAAAGGTGGTCAAGATGACAAACATTTAACCAAGGTTTATAAAATAACATGCTAAGATTTTATTATCAAACTTCAATAAGGAAGCAAGAAGTTCACAGAAACGGAATCCAGCGGCTCACTTACCAACTGCAGCGTCCAGTTTTTCAGTGATAAGAACTGAAAGGCAGAGGAGCAACAGTCAACAAACCTACATGGCTACCAGCGTGGCTAACTTTCAGGCTTAAATAATTTAAAACCATTTTTAACTACCCCCCTCCCCACCCAGAGAGGCCAGCATCAAGAAAACAGATGACAACAACCGCCAGTGAGGATACAGGGAGAGCAGGGCTTACACTTGTGAAGCCCCTGTGGAAATCAGTATGGGGGCTCAACACATAAAACTAGAATGGCCACACAACCCAGCAACAGCACTCTGTGCACAGGCCCAATTGACTTCAACTCAGCACCTTACAGAGATTTTGCATATTCGTGCTTACTGTAGTATTAAAGCCAAGATACAGATCAAGATTAGATGTCGACCAACAAATGAATGGATAAATAAAATATGGGATTTAATGTACTATAAAAATGACATCTGCAGGAAAATGAACACAACTGGAAATCACCATATTAAGTGAAATAAATCAAACTTAGAAAGAGAAATATTACCTGTTTTCCTTTATATGGAGAGCCTAGGTTTCAGATTCTATATGTAGGCATGTATGAACGTATGTATATATGTACACTTGCATATAGATGCACATGTATGTGTATTTATATGGCAGTC